TTAGTAAGAGTAACCTTTTTCTACTCTATACCGACTTTTTTAAAGTTCCAACAGATACATATAACTGTATTGATATCTACTCCCTAAAAATGATATATATTTTTGCATCTAAAATTGCATGAATTTCATTAATCTTCTATCAGAAGGTCTCCCAGTAGTATATACTTAAGTTTTAATATTTAAAACTAATTATTGGGGGCTAGAGGGATGGGTCAGTGGTTAAGGGCACTGGCTGTGCTTGCAGAGGACCCAGGTTGGATTGCCAGTACCCACATGGCAACTAACAACTGTCCATAAGTCTCAACCCTCTTCAGACCTCCGCAGGCATTGAAAGACATGGCTGCACTTATATACATAGATGTGATACACTCATAAACATAAAATAAAATATAATAAATAAAATATTTTTAAAAAATATACTATCGTGACATCAGTTAAGAGAAATGTTGCTCAAAATATAACATTATATTCCCAGAATGATTTTTCAAATTTCTGATTGCTATTTATTGCAGATACGATATTAAAATGTCTATTTCTTTTATAGTTACCTAAGCCTGACCTTTTGGAGCTGATTAAATAATACTGTTAATATCAAAGAATGCCCTAAAAATGATTGAATTTAAAAAGCAAAATAAAAGTAATTGGGAAGTCTCTGGCAATTAATCATTTTAGATTTCCTCTTGAAGAACCATCTTCATTTGGAATAGAAAACAAATGGTCTTTTTTTCCTGTTACATGCCGTTGTTAGACTGAATTTGCTGCACAGAATAGATGTCTGAAAATAAAAGCTCCTGTCTGATTCTTTTCCCATCCAGTAGCATGCACTTCGCAGCATACCTATCTTGCTTTTCTGTGTGTTTGAAACAACTTAGTATTCTGTATCTGATTTGCTCAGCAGATTTTGGTTATTAGTGTAAATAATGCCATAAAGAGCATATGGAAATCCACATAGGAGCTAAACAATCTTACTCATTCTTAACATTCAACTCTTTCATTTTGTGTGTACCCTGTAGTAATTATCACAAAATTGGGTAATCAGACATTTTTAAACTTAAAAACTATATGCATAATCTATGACTTTATGTAGTATGGAAGTTGTAAATGCCACTTGGATTAGATTGTGCTTCAAACATTCAATAAAACACATTTACTGTGTCCAAGATTAAATGATACATTGTTTAAAATTAATTATTCCTTTTTAATTGCATTGTATAAACAGAAATGACCTGTTAATTTAAAGAAAATCTATCAGCACAAAATGAATTCACTCATATAAACAAGCAAGATGAACTTGACCTTGTTTGAACTTGTTTTGATGTGGCCCAGATGGTAGGCTACATGCTTGAATAGCGGCCTAAAGCTGAGGAAAAACTCATATAGCAAGATCTAGATTTATAGCCTTCTGTACATTCCTACCTTGTATTGTCCTTTCGGCATCTGTTCTGCCGCCACTGCGGTCAGCTTCTATCTCTGGGGTCAGAGAGTCTAAAAGCACAGAGAGGTAAGAGTGACATATATCTCATTTGATTCCTATTGTCCTTTTTAAAAAAAGAACTACCTGTTAGTGATGAATTAAAAACACATTAATCTTTGTCATCTTTTAAAGGTTAAACAAAACTATAACAACGAGAATTTCTAATGATTTGACTAGATCAGTAAAGTAATATTCTCATAAGATAGCCTGGAGTGGGAGTTTCTAGATTAACTTTTCATCATTTTTTTCTGAAGATAAAGATTTGGTTAAACAAAAAATCCCTGCCAGATTTCAGATACTGAGATTATATACCAAAACAGTAAAGGTGCCTGTGGAATAAAGCGTTTCAACCCAACACTGTCTTCCTAACATGCTTTCTTTCGGCTATACACATAGCTGAATGAATCACAAGAAAGAAATATACAAAACCACAAAGAGATGAGACGTCATCCTTTCAGGATTAGAAAGCACAGTTGACTATAGGAAAATACACAGGTTCTTACCATTTAAGACCCTGAGACCATCTGCTGAAGCTGCCTGTTTCAGTGTCTGCTCTGCTTGCTCACGTCGTTTGGTCTCAAACTCCAGGGCCTCCTGCAGTTTCCTCTTTGCCTTCTTCTCCTTCTTTAGCCTCTTTTGCACTATGGCTGGGGAATAGTACATGGAGATTACTTTTAAGAAGTCTTATTACTCTGATAATGTATAAACGGTCCATAGTTTTATGGCATTCATTCATTTTTCCTATTGGATAGTCTACCTACAAGGAGGAAGTCCAGAAATCCCACCTTTTCCTAAAATAATTATCCATAAAATGTCCATGGAAATCAATTTTATTTTCAGCCCTGAACTATTAAAAGAATTCTTTCAATTGTCCTGTATAGAGATAAATTTAATGGGCTGCTAATGTCAGTAACTATTTGTGTTCACTGATAAAGGGATCCTGCTTAAATGAAATTTGAGGCTTAAATCTCTGCACTTAGGTGACAGTGCTGCAGAACGCATTAAATAATGTAACCTTTGGAAGCACATCTCCACTCCTCTGCAGAGGCATCGCCTCTATTCCTGCCAGTTAGATTCTTAATAATTATTCCTTCAAATTTTAAGAAATGCATCGAGTACTATTTGTGTGTGAGGAACAACAAATTCCTGTTATTAATATATGGAAGCAGAAATTTCTTTGGATGAAGATACTAGGATTTTCCCTAAGAATAATTTCTTCATTGTAAGTGTATTTTGCTGTAATAAATTTCAAAAAGATCATTATAGGTTCATTTTTCAAGAATTAGAGCGGAATATAAATACTCACTGGAAATTATTATGTGTTACTGTTAACAATGTGCTTTTATAGATGAAAAAGTATATTAAAATACAAAGTATGTTATGATATATTTTTTCTTATTAGATAATTGCAATAATGGTGCCTAATAGTAATCAATAATTGATAACAAATAATGATAATCCATAAAATGTACATTTGTGTACTGGATATAGAGTGAATTGTTTTAACTTTGTCTCTATGTAAATAAACATGGTAAGCAGTTATCATAGTGAAACTATATATGATTTTCTTTGGAATCATTTTTTGATTATTAATAAACAGTGATGTCAATGCAACAAAATCACTATAGTAAAATCCTTTTTTAAGTCATGAGGAGTGATCATTTCAAGATCTTTTTAGTTTCGTGCTGCTTATTGAAAAAAATACTTTTATTTATGTAATATTTACTCAGAATGTAAAATAAAGGAAAAATGCTGTAGTTAACATTTTAGTTCCAATTTCTTATTCCCACGTGTACTGTTTTACTCATTACTCATACTGCTCAAATTTTAGTCCACTAACATGTTGAGTTTATTTTTCTGTAACATATATATTAATTTTTTTTATCCAAATGGGCATTAACTAGAGCCTTACTAGTAAAATAGTTAAAACTGATTTCAAATTAGTGCTAATTCCCTTTAGAATGTGAAAATAATTTACTTACCCTAACATGACTCACTATTTCTCTTTCTAAATATTATTATTTAATATTTATCTTTGAAAAGACACAATAATTTTTTAAATATGTTTGTAAAATTTTTAACACCTAAACACACCTGGCACCCTGCCATTGATATCTTAGTTTCCTCCTCTATGACGGCATCAAATGGGATTGAATCAAATGCTCTGTGTGTAGAATTGCTTTAGTAGACACATTGATAGTAGGTAAGTATTGATAATTATTACCTTCAACTTACTGTTCAAAATTAAATGGAGAGTTCATGGTGTGATCTGTAAATATTTGGCCCTCTAGTGGCTGAAGGAGTAAAACCTAAACTAGAATGTCCTATCAGATCTGGATCCATACACTGCTGAAAGGCCTTGCACGGTTCAATGTGTTATTTTCCAGACCTCAAAGCCTGTAATTTAGTCTTATATCACAGGTTTCATTGGGCTACAGCAAAATTAAAACATGGCTATTCCATGAAAGACGATTCCATGGATTGAACTCTTTGATCAAATTCCTTATTCACTTAGAACTCATCCATCATCAATGTTTACCTTGTTTGAATTATTTGATTACCTAAATCTATATGGAGCCATATGCTTTAAAACTGATTATACACTGCATGACAGTGTTGCAAATCAACTTGATCCCAGGAATGCAGTAGCTATTGACTTATAGTATGTAAAGAAACAGCCTGGTAATCTTGCTACTTTGAAAAGCAAAACAGAAGGAATGATCTTTAAATGATCCCATCAAACAAGAAATGGGGACATTTGAAGCATTTATACTGGATACATAAAAATTAGAGAACAGGAATTTCCCATATAACTAGAATTCTTATATATCCCTGTAATTGAAGCAAAAGGGGAATTGGATGCAGGTTTCAAATCCATGCATAAAATAAGTATACAAATATGAATGACTTTTAAAATATCTATAAATGTACTTTATGATATATTAAAAGAAGCAATTAAAGATCAATAATACTATTAATTTTACCCAATAAGAATTCATTTTTGTCACTATTTCCTATTTTGACCTTGCTGAATGAAAGTGAGGCATTCAGAAAGAATATGATACAAACACTTAACCTCAGTCATATGCTCAGATGTTCATCAGTCTTCCATTTCAGTGGATAAATATCTTACTGAAACTGCTTTGCTTGAATAATCAGCATTTTCTATTTTAGCTTTATGACTTTAACTTCTAAAGTTTTCAAAGGGCAATTATGAATGATGACAACATTCTTCTTCATGGCTATCATCTTATCAGAGCTCATTCTTATCTTAAAGAACATGAATTCATTAAACATTATAAGCAATGAAAATTATATGATCAGTGATACAAAGGCTATGTTCTAATCCCCTAAGGTGGAGACAGAAGAGAGTGTGTTCTTTGAACATTTGCAAATAGGAGCCAGTGATTCAAACACTACTCTGAGTTGTAGGAAAGATAGCAAAAGTTAGTCTCAAAGTAAATAACTAAACATAACATCATATAATTGTGTTGAATATTTTACTTAAAGTATGAATTTGTTTGGAGTCTCACAAATACCTCTGTTCTTTTGTTCCATAGCCAGCTGCTTCTCCAGTGTTTCTCTGAGTTCTCTTTCCCTTAAAAAGTCCATCTTCAGCTCTGTTTTTTCCAGTTGGACCTGTTTTTCTTGAGCCCTGGCATTATCTATGGCAACTTTCAAGAGGCCCTGTACAAAGGAAGTATTCAGAATGGTAATATTTTGGTACAAAATAAATTTTATTCTTTACTTGGAAGTATTTTCAAAGAGAGGAGCTCACTTAACTGAATTCTTTAATTCTTGTGCATTTACCCAGCACTCACTCCGACAAATAAAAAATAATGGAATGAAACACAAAACTCCTAAATCAAACTAAACTATTTTAGGAAGACAAATATTTATGGCACACAGGTTTCGTTAATTCTAATTATATCCAAAATTAAATGAGAGTTGCACAAAAGCATGGCTACAAAACAAAATGGACAAAAGAAGTAGCCTGAAATTCCTTTACAAGAAGTCACCTGATACGGTCTATGTGCTCCTGTCAGGCTGCTCACTGTCTTCCCAGTCTGTCCTTCCATTCCCTTCCCAAGCCCTCTCTTTACAGCCCTCCATTTTGTGTTTCTCCATTCAACAATTTCTGCCTGCTGCAGAAATTTCACTCTTCTCTAGTTTTTTGCATGACTTACACCTCATTTTATTTCACCTTTACCCCAAATCACAATTCAAGAAAGGACATTCAACTTGGTATATTCCTGTAAACAGATCTTGCTGGACCCTTCTTAAACTTTGTCCTAATAATTATCATTGTGTAATATTATCAGATATCTACTTATTTACTGGTTTATAGTGGGTATCTTCTACTGAAATTTATGTTCACTGAGGGAGGAAGTGATGTTTGCTATTTTTTAGAATTCTGCTCCAAGTACTCAGAGAGGGCCTAGCATATTTTAAAAGCAAAAGAAATTAATGAATGGAAATTATCATAGTGTTATTTTGTTAGTCATAAAATATATTCAAAGAGGCTAAAACATAGTGGATAGTCAGTTATGTTTAAATTCATTCAGAATGTTATAATAATTTGAAAATAAAACATAAGAAATTATTTCATAACAAAACTCAAAAAATGTATCAAAAGAAAAAGTGTATTTAATCCTTTTATAATGTATATCTATGTGTACTTTCACAAAATTTAGCAGTTCTTTGAGATTTTTGAAAATGAGTAATGAGGATGTGTTATACATGTAGAAAGCATTCCGTGTGTATTCTGAAATAATATACATTGGAACAAAGTGATCGGCAAAAATCATAGTTAAAACTCTATAATTATGTAATCAGCAATACTAAATATTATTTTTGAAGTAGAAAGCATTGTATCCTAGTCTGTGAATATTCCAGTCTGAAATTTGTGATTGAAATTATACAGGAGGTGGAGATTAATGCCATTTGCAGACATCTTCAAGGATGCAATCCCCTTTAAGTGTCAACATGAAAAGTTTGTATCAGGGATTCCATCTCCAGCTTGACTTGCAAGCCCAATAAAAAGAAGTCTGCCCTCAGCACTACAATATAGCTCATAGCACTGTCAAAAGCCATTTTAAAGATCACTTCTCACTTCATATTTGTTCTATCTAACCCAGAATTTCCTGGCATAATTTTTGCAGCATAAAATGATCAGGAGAAGGTTCTCTGTGTGTTAGCTCCCTCCTCCTCATTCTTTTGTTGTTTAATAATAAAACATAGCCACCTTAACTGAATTCAGCAACATTCCTGTATATGTTTCTTCTTCATCAGGAACAAACAATTAGTAACAAATGAAAGAGATCATTACATCAAGTGCCCTTTCAGATCACCCCAATTAAAACTTTAGTTTAGCTGTATTTTAATTCTAAGATACCAAATTCTAATTTTCTGCTCTGATTGCTCTTGTTGACTTATCTTTGAAAGATGTACTCTCTGTGCAATGTCTAGAGATTATTTAGCAAGATGCCAATGTTGGCACCACTTAATGTGTTGATTGGTTGTATTATCAGTAGCTGTTTAAAATAAATTACTATTAAACTATTATTGTCCTTGGCTGACAAAACACAATATTTTGGTGTTCTTTAAATATGAAACAATCAATATGAATAAACATGTCGAATAATGTTAAGCTGCAGCTCTAATTGTGTAGTTTTATTATTAATATCTGTTTTTAAAGAATGAATTTGCTGAGAGTATTTATGTTTCTCTCCTTTGGTTAAAGTTATTGCTCATGTACCTAATGATGTTATATTACCTATTCGTGCTGATTGTGCCTGAAAAATATTCGCTTTGGGGATCCTATACCTTCTAGTGACTACCTATAAGCTATATAAAATTAAATTTTTAGACTTTAAATCAGCACATCAATAGGAATCCAGTGTGAACAAAAATGTGCACTAGAGCCAAACTGATGAATATGCAAAGGTATGTTATTGCCAGTGACAGCTCTACTAAAAAAAATACAGAATACTAATTCAATTTCAATTCAGCAGGAGGCTGGGCAAAAACAACAGCAAGTAACGTTCACAACCTCTACAAATCATTAGGGCACCTTTCAACTACCAGTGATAATACTTTCAGATTTGTGTAACTTCTGTGAATACTCCAGGTCAATGGTGTACAAAAGGTCACAGTAACTGCAGGGTTCTCACTTGGACGTGCAGTCTTTGCTTGGTGCTGTGACCACAGTATGAATTACCATAAGGTGGGGGTTCTTTAAGCATGGATTTTCTCCAAGGGGAGTTTAGTTCTCAAGACACTGAAGTTGGACAATGACTCTAAAGAAATACACTTGAGGCTTGTTTAGAGACAATGGTTAAAGACAATGGTTAATTATCCTCAGATTTGTTTTCAAACATGAAGCATTACACTGTTTTCTTTTCTGAATGATCTCCCTTATCAGTTAAATGATTTTATTTTTGTCAGAAAATGAAGCTATTTAGAAAACTGTGGAGGGGGGTCGTTTTTCCATGAATTTACCAATGTTGTTTCTGTATCTATATTGCAGGGAGTTTAAATACCTGCTTTTGAGAGTACTTTTCAAGTAATACTCATATGAAAGACACATTCTTAACACACTAGCTGTAATAAGCTACACTAAAAGCTTCTTTACTTCAAGTTTGTATTTTATTCAAATTTACTTCTGAAATTTGCAAGGCCAAATTTTTATTGAATACTGTGTCACTGATAAACATGAGTAAAATACCCCAATAGAAGAACAGTAATCATTTGTTGCATCAAAAATATTTAAAACTGAAGAACAATAGTCCAGAAGGATCATGTGACAGTGACTTATCCAAGATTCTAAAGTACTGAGTTGACTAAGTCTAGGTCAGAAACACAGGCTCTTAACTTTATTTTGCTTTTAGTATTTCCCTGCATATTTACAGACTAAGAAGATTTGTCTCACCTGGGAAACAGATTATTGTAGACAGAAAGAAAAGGATGATACTGTTAAAGTGATGTACTATGGCAGAATACAAGAAAGAAAAGAAAGAGAGAGAGAGAGAGAGAGAGAGAGAGAGAGAGAGAGGTTAGGGAGATGGTTCAGTGCTTATGAGCACTGGTTACTCTTACAGGGGATGCAAGTTTAATTCCCTGCACCCACATGGGAGCTAACAACCGTCTGTAACTCCAGTTACAGGGGAATCTGATGCCCTCTTCTGACTTCCTTAGGCATTGCACAACATGGGTGCACTTACATGTAGGCAATACACTCATACACATAAAAGTAATAAATAAATGTTTTTAAAAGATGAAATTATATTTGGTTTGTTACAAACCATAACAGGAAATTTATGCAGATAAACCCACAGTGCTTTTAACCACATGCACAACATCTGCATAGGCCCAAGCCAGACAAAACCCAATGTGGATAGGAGAAGTAAGTAAGAAGGCCAAGCCCTAGCTGAGGCATATTGGTAACTGATAACTGCTGAAAGTCAGAGACTCAGTTTTCCTCTAGGGTGTGATTCTAGTTAGGTTGAACAGGTTCTAGGGCATGGACCAACAATCAAAGGCATTTAAGGAACAAAAATTAGACTAAAGGCCATAAAAAAGAACAGAGGATATGAAATGGGTGGATAAGGAGGTGGGGTTGAGGGACTGAATATGATCAAAATATATTTTATGAAATTCTCAAAAAACACAATAAAATGTTACTTAAAAATCTAGTATTCAGTTTTTACATATAAATATGGTATTTTTCCTTAGGTCTTATTCTTAGAGTAGAAAGAGGTAGTCATGAAAATTCAGTTTTGAAACTGGTATTATGAAGGAGATATCTGTACTGATAAATATAAATTTAATAATTAAAAATTGACAAATTAAACTATTTAGAACAGTGATGTTTTGAACATGATTTTCAAGGATTTGCAGCCTCAATTCTAATCAAAACAAAATATTTCATTGTAACTATGGAACTTTAAACTTACTACATGAGTATGTTACCATTTTAACACCCAAGGCAGAGAACCCAATTACACATAATTGAAACTCAGAGGAATTTGAGGTGGGCAGACTGTAATTACTCAAATTAAAATTTAGACAGTAAACACATTTATACTGTGTGTCTAAGAAGTCAGGGTCATGACTGTTTAAACATTCTATACAATTCTTGTCATATTGTTATAACTCAATCAATATGGCAAAAATGTGTGTGATGTTCTATCAGCTGATGTGAAATCATCATTACTGATTCATAATCCGGTATGTAAATGCTGTATATGTATATGACCATATGTATTTGTCTCTCTCTCTCTCTCTCTCTCTATATATATATATATATATATATGTATGTATGCATTTCACTCAGAAATATTCTTAATCTTTATGTGTTATATATGCATGCATGCATATATGAGGATATTCTAAATATATATGTAATTACATCTGTGCATATATGTGTATATAATTTATGTAGACAAGCATAATTTAATTTTAATGAACACTTTTTCTACAGGTGTTCTAGCTTTATTAAACTCAAATCCCTATCAGTTGTTACCAGAAATAATAAGCTTGTCTTGATTGTCATTATACTGTTATTTCATATAAAATATGTCTTTGAGCCATAGGGTTGAAAAAGAGATCAGATCTAGAGCAGGTTAAATAAATAACATTTGTGTAAAATGTAGACTTTTTTCTCTTTCTTTAAAAAATAATTAGTTTGAAGTGATGAGGTTATCATACTCTTCTAAATATTTTTGGCACCAAGGAGATGGATGACCACCCCTACTGTCAGTATTTGACTTAGAAATGTGGAGGTCGGCTGTATAACCAGGTCCTGGCATATACCCACTCCAGACGAGTAAGCTGGTGTATACAAAAAAGACTCAGAAATGTTTCCTGTGCTAAAATTGGAATTAAATTCTCACTCCTTTGATTAAAGGGCTTTTAGATAGTGAAGTATATATAAACAGCTTTTTATGCATCATATAGATTTGGACACATAATAAAATGAACTGTTCCTCTTCTTTTCAGAAAGCATTTAACTTAAGAGAGTACTTCTTAGAAAACCTTTACCTCAAAGAAAACAATAATGTGGTAAATTTTAAGGGAAAAGGTCTTATATTTATTTTGGAATGCATCAATTATTTGGCCGTGATCAAGATTAGACTGGTGTGTTGACTTATTTCAATTACTAAAACACAAAACTTTAATACTGAATTCAGTTTTTAACATTCTAATTATATTAGCATTAAAAATGTCATAATAACAGATAAGAAGATATGTTACATTAAAGGCCTCCTGTTATGTCCTTGGAGAGGTAAATAAAATTAATTACATTTCTACTGGAACAAAGTTTAATATGGTAGGAAATTTGTTTAGAAAAATTTAACTAAGGGTGGAGTGCTGGAGTAAAACCTTTGGAAAAGAGACTAAAGGGTAGCAATATCTGCACTCTTCTGTCTCCCTGTACTTCCTCCTAATATGGAAAAGCAGATGGCAGAAAACTCCATCTGCAGTCCACATGATCCGTCATGTGTGGCAAGAGAACTATGCTTTCTTCTATCCCAAACACTTTTATTATCTTGGCTCCCTGCACTATGTTATTGTTAACTGTAAGTATTTTTGATTCATAATGTACTGTACGTAAAATATACATCCTGAGGACCACATAGGAAATCCGTGGAAAGTTTTGTATGGCTTTTTGAAGTCTGTTCTTTGAAGAATCCTTACTAGTTGAAACAAACTTATTTATGAAAGAAGAGATTCTTTTGGATTCTTCTACATTAGACATATTTAAAATGACTAAACATCTCATTTCCTTACTGGAGTGCCAGAAGTTTAAAAATATCTAAATATTTATTAGAGCTTGTATGCTGTCATTTAGTAAATCAGACAAACTTACACAGTTAAATTGGTCCCATTAGTTGGCAATAAAGAGAACAGTTAAGAAGGATGTTTTCTTAAATGCTCATATCATTTTTGTCTGTTTTTTATATGACATAATATAAATATCTTTGAGTATTTCTAAAAAGATTTGGTTAGCTCAGCAAATTTAAAATCTCATTTTCTGGAAAAAATGTTTAATGCCATGGATCAGTCAATATCATGAGATAATTAATTGAAATAAGATGTATTTTGGAAAGAAATATTTACACGTGTGCACCATAGTTTTTTCTCACTGAGTGCTAAAAAGCATACCTGTATATTAGTCAGAAGGGTCTCTATGGAAGACAATCCATCAGGAAACAGAAAAGGAGATGGGAAACCTGGAGGTAGTGGTTGTCCATGCCCAGTTAGAGAAAGTTTGTCGAGGTTGTCTCTTGCGGTTGGTGTAGAAAGCGGGGTCTCATCTGTATGTGATTGAAACAAAAATATAGAACAAGTTACGCTTGTCTGTTTTTATTAGACCTCAGTAATGGCTTCCCTAGTGGTTTCCAGAACATTTATTGCAAATTGGTTCCTGCTATCAGGAGAAAATGCTTTCTGCTGAATTTTCTTTAATGAAAAAGCTGTGGAGATACAACAAGATAACATTAATGAGTAACTTTATAAGCCTTTTAAATGCAGTCTCTAATGAGACTGAGTTTACAGTGCCATAGAATCTTTTTAAAACAAATATTATCTCATATATAGTTGTGATAATATATTCAGGCTGACTTTATGGGCACCTTCCCAATTATCTCATTTTCGTTTGTTCTGTTTGGATTGACAATAGAATATTTCTAGAGCTTTATATATGAAATGTTTTGTATATCAGGATGTTTCTTTCTCAATTAACCTTTCCTTTACTTTGATGATTAGTCCAAATGTACTCTAACAAAATTTAACAAAGGATCTGCAATTGAAACCTTTCTTTTCACATCCAAAAGAGAAAGCTAGAATCTAAAACTACTTACTGTTTCTAAATTATATCTGAAATAGTCACTCTCATTTGCTGGAGATCTACATTTTTTAAAAACTTGGACATCTTTTACACATTGAAAAACTAAAGCTTTTATTCAAGAAAAAAGGATCTGGAGGGGAAAAAAGTAATAAAACGTAATGTCCATCACAGTGTTCTGAAAATCTGTTTGAAAACTTTGTCAGATAAGGTATTCTTTATTTCATGTATTGAATATTCTTCAACATTTAACAACTTAGAATAAGAATGCCAAATAAAAATTCTTTTATTTTCATAGTGAAATATTTTCATCCAGTTCTTTACTAATTAACCATTTATATGAAATGGAAACAGGTGTTGTAATCACAGAGAAAACTTTACTCAGAGCAGTATTCTCAATTTATAAATATTTTTCTACTTCCTCCCAGAAAAAATTAACCAAAGCAATGTATTTGCTCACTCCTGATAGAGCCTCTCAACACTGCAAGCAGCTAAATCTTTGGCATACTTGATTTATGCTTATAATTTAATGCCAGTGTTCTCCTGGATCATTCTTTTATTTTACATCAACATACCTAACCACATAACAATTATCTTTTTCTGTGACAGAAATATTGTGAAAGTTTCCACACCTTGTTGTCCCTCGCTAATGTTAGAATTAAGTAAATTTTTTTCCCTCAGCTTTCCACATTTGTAGTTAATGGACCAAAAGAGCAGAGGTTGTGGAAGGAAGAGAGGGACAGAAGATGTCCTGCTAGGAACATGCCTCTCACACTCCTCACTCCTCCGCAGATTCCCCTTGTACTTCATCCTCTGTTTACTCCCTGACAGATGATCGGCAGAAGCAAGTACTAGAGGAAGAGGCAGCACAGCTGAAGTAGGAACCGTGCTGCCATATTTTATCACACTTTTCAAAAGTGTTAGGGAAAGATTTCAGTACAGGGGTAGCATGACCACATGGCTAGTGTGCACAAGGTCATTTTGGATACCATTTTCCTAGCTGTCATAAATTACCTCTCCAGACCAAGGCTGCTAGTCTTTTCTCATAATAGCTCTGAAAAGGTACTTGTTAAACATCTATGTGCATGTGGCATTGTTTAAGAATAGAGAGCAATATTTTTCGATCAGCATCACCTTAGCTGTCACATGGGAAAGAAAATGTGGCTTAATAGATCATGCAGATAATAATTGCATGTCTCTTGAAGAAAGGCATGGAACCAGATGTTCACTTGAGGGTGGTTTCACTCTAGCTTCTATGACTTTACAATTTTAAAAGACTTCATGAAAAAAAGAATTAAATGTATGTATACACATTTGATCTTATGTTCCATCACCCAATGATTATTTGATTTAACTAGAGTGCATTTATGCTTGACTGTTTGGCTGTTGTAGGAGAAATCACTAAATCACTGTGATGTTTACATTCATGAGCCCATACTCATTTAAACAGGGTACAAGATTACAGGAGAATGCAAAACACAGACTGAAATATCATGAAGGGCATGCAGGCTAGAATGAATAGTTTCAGTTGTTAAATAGCTACTTCTTATACTTAGTAAAGCATTTCACCTTCAATCATTACTGCATTAGACATTTATCCCAAAGATTAAAATATTTGTGTGTATATGTGCAAATGTGTATTTCTTCTGCTGCTGTTTCAATGGAATTCCACGCTAGTTCTCATAGATGAGAAGAGACTATTATATGTCATAAATTTAAGACAGCACAGTTACTTAAAAATGGGAAAGAAGGTTTAATTGTTTATTCAGCTTTTGTAATTTTATAGAGCAGTTCTTTATCAAATTTAAGCCCCCTCTGCCATCCATGTCCCTAATCCCCACACCGGACTTCATGTATTCTGCCCATTGTGGAAGAGGGGGCAGAAAGATTGTAAGAGCCAAGGCTGGTTCATGAACACAGGGAAGCAGGGCATTAAGACCATTGAAAGCCTGCACATGTGAACTTGTGGCAATGGTACATTGAGCACAGGACCCATGCCAACTCAATTAAACAAGGGCCCAGTGGGGAGGAAAGACTCAGTCTAGGTGGCGGACAGGCCCCAGACTGAGAACTATTGGAGACTTAATAGCTCTAGATGGAGGGAGAATATGCCTTACATACATCCCTAGGTAGGCTGACTAGACTGCGGTGGATGGTGGATGAATTTACACTGAAAGATATTTGGGTACAAATACTCGACTGGATGGGACTTAACGTGTATGGAAGAAGAATTTTTTTTAAATACACAATATTTTAAAAAGAAGGCAAACTAATAATAGCTCAAAGAAAACAAATAATATTTAGTCTTCAATACTCTATTATCTAAGAAAAGATTGTCATCTTGTGGCAATTAGCATCATAGGAAGTCTGCTTTCTTTCCTCTTGCAAGGACTGAATGTTAAGAACATGCCTCTTGCATTTTAAATAAAAGTGACCTTTGATATTAAAAATGCTCTGGGAAGATTAAAGTAAAACTTTGGGAGTCCAGAAAATGTGGTGGTTTGGATCACAAACTCTCCATTGTGTTCAAAGTGTGAATGAAAAGGAATCACACATCCATAGAAGACCTTATTTCTACTTGATGTATTTTCAAAGATTCTATTTTGGTTTCTTTTAGATTTTCTGAGACAGGGCCTAATTATGTAGACATGGATGGCCTATAACTCTATGTAGTACAGGCTAGCCTCAAACTTAAAAGATCCACCTGTTTCTGCCTCCTAGTGCTGGGACTAAAGTTATGCAACACTATGCTTGGCCTTTTCTTTTGCTTTGTCTATCTGCAAATTTACAAAGATTTTAAGATTGTGATTAAAGACAGTTGTTTGGTCAGATTTCATAATTTTTGGATTATCATATTATTTGTTAATCAGTTTTAGTATCTTAATATAAATGGATGGAAAATTACAAGAATTGTATGAAGAAATCCTTTATATTCAAGGAGTGAGTTGAATGACAATCATCAAAATATGTGTCTAGTCTTTAAATTTTTTTTTTTAATTTGTAAAAGGGTTTTTCACAATGCATTTAAAGAATTTAAGATGAGGTTATTCTAATGTAGGATGGGTCCCCAAACCAATAACAAGTGTCTTTATATTTAAAAAAGGCAGATGGAGATTTAAAAAAGAGAAAGAGAAGAGAGAGTTAAGTAAGTGATACTAGACTAAAGGAAGATTCTAAGAATATTTCAGTCACATTTAGGAAATACAGGCATCAGCACATGGTTGACAGAACCAGATTGTTAGTGTGCTGGATAGCTTTAGTGTCAACTTGACACACCTGGGTTGAGGGGAGCCTCAATCGGGGAATTGCCTCTATTGGACTAGCCTGTGGCCATGTCTGAGGGGCATCTTCTTGATGAGTGATGTGGGAGGGCCCAGCCCCCTGTGGGTGGTGCCACCCCTGGGCAGGTGGGCCTATGTAGCATAAGAAAGCAGGCTGAGCAGGGGCCAGGGGAGCAAGTCAGTAAGCAGCATTCCTCCATGGCCTGTGCTCCAGCTCCTGCCTCCAGGTTCCTGCCCTGAGTTCCTACCTTGGGCTCCTGGATGAACTGTGACCCAGGATACGTAAGCTAAATAAACCCTTTCCTCCCCAAGTTGGTAGTGGTCAGAGTATTTTGTCACAGCAATGAATAACAAAATAGGGCAGTTAGTTTTCTGTTAAGTTGTTATGTATAAATTCCTAAAAATGTTGAGAACTTTTTAGCAGTCTTGTATTTTAATTCAGTTATAGGGAACTACTGTAATTTCTGAAGAAAAATGGGATAACACATATTATAGTTGAACAAATAGTTTCATTTTATTGTCTGGAAAATTACTGACTGACATCTGAGTAAATTATATAATACTTGTTGCAAATTATATAA